TCTCTGGCTCTCCAGAGATCATCGGTCAATGCGACCAAAGCGGTTTCTGTGCTGTAGCCGGGCCTGAAGCCCGACTGAAAGGGGTCGAGATAACTTTGCCTCTTTGCAACAAACAGTACAGACAATATACACTGTTTATAGTGTTATATTTCAAACTATACTTGTACAGATACTGTTAAAATTGATGTGCTTTCTGGAAGTTACTCTCTGCTATTTAAAAGAATAGCACTTTTTAAAACAATAATACCGGGCCTCTTCAGATCAAGTATTTATTTTAAAAAGCTTCACTTTGTTAAGTTGTCTAGAACAATAATAAAGCAGTCTTTAAAAAACAAGTCTAGTATAATTTAAACATTCTATAGGCATTTATAGTTGTTGACTTACTTCCTTGCAGCAAACAGCCTGATTAGCACAAGAAAAAAAAAATCTGCCTCCCAGCAATTTGCCATGTGGAGCAAACAGCAAGTTTCATTTTCAATTTCTCCCGATCATCAGCTGTTAGAGGCTGCAGGGATTGCTATAACTTGTTTGGTGTAAAGAGGTAAATTGCTGAGAGGCAGAGGCCAAAGGGTGGAGGCTAGTGGGTGGGTGGGTCTACATTCAGTGTATAAGATGCACCCAAATTTTCACCCTCTTTTTTGGGGGGGAGATGCATCTTATAATCTGAAAAATACGGTAAGTAGAGTTTCGAAAGAGGCACATGCATCTGTCAAAATTGAATATTCTGGACAACAATTTGGATTTAAAAGTAGTTCTGATGTAATTTGTTTGGTTGGTTTTAGAAACCTCATATTAAAAACACAAACAATTCACCACTTAATGTTTTTATTAATGCAAGACATTATAATTTTTTTAAGGAAAGGCTTTGAAACTGTAGCTTAAGAAATTTTTCATCAACCATAAACACATTTTGATGGGAAGCATGTGCCTGTCTGGAGAAAAATATTAAAAGGCAATATGTACAAAGCTGGGAGTTTATGCTATGCATTAGAACTATTTATCATTGGCAAATATTCTAATTGTCTGCAGTAGTGTTTGTTTCTGTGGAGTATTGCATTTTAAGACATCCTTTTCTATTCCCTTCCTTCAGATGACTATTTTTGCACTTCTCTTTAAATTTTGGCCAATGTTTTGTGAATTCCGAGGTAATTTGAAGGATGAAGCTATTTTTCCTTGCTTGGAAAGAGAAAAGAAGATTCAGAAATTAAAAAAAGCAAAAGAATTAGAAGTGAAGGTGAGAAGACCAGATTAACAGGACACAATAATGTGAATCACTCAAAATAAGATAAATTCTTACCCAAAATAGCACAGCTATTTTGTAACTGATCCAAATCCTGCAGAAGTGAAATGGGGAAAAAAATGCCCACATTACAAATGAAATTTTCCCTATTTAGGACTACTCATTTATTATATTTGATTTCTGGTGCTGTAGGAGTTTAAGACAGACAGCAATATTTTATAATGAAACATACTTTGAAAGTTTGCTGAACTATAACAACCTAATGAAAACATGCCTTTTGATGCCAGCTCTCCATAAATCTGCTTTCTGTAAATGTATGCCTTTGAGATGTGTGGGAATACAATTCACATCACATACGATGTTGTAATTCACTCTGCACTGGGGAAAGCTGCTTTAGGAATCCTCATTTTTGTGAATTCTCCTAAGAATGTAATTCTATATTTGCAGAGAGTTGCTAAATACTCAGTGGTGGGATTCAGCCAGTTCGCATCACTTCGAGAGAACCGGTTGTTAACTTTCTGAGCAGTTTAGTGAACTGGTTGTTGTAAGAAATCATTAGGGCAGAGAATCGGTTGTTAAATTATTTGAATCCCATCACTGTATACTGTATACCTATGATACATTAATCAAAATACTGTTAAATATTATTAGCCAAGTAATCCCACCTCAAATGTTAGGAGACCAATTGGAAGAGGGCAGAGATAGGTAGATCATGGCCCAGAAAAATTATAAAACCTCTTTTCATAATGGAAGGGAAACCAGAAGCGAACAGTGCTTCGTATCCTATGTTGTGTAGTAACACTCCAAATGGAACATTTCCATCCCAACAACTTTCTGCCTACTCATCTATCAAGCCCATTTGGGTTAGGTGAGGAATGAAACCACCCTGAAGGACATATATGGGGACGCCTAAGCAAATTGCTCAGACTGAAGAAGCTACTGAGATAAGTGAAACGTTTTTAACCAGCAGGAAAAGAAAATGAGTCCAGTAACATGACTCAACCTCCAGAGGCACCATAATAAAAACTTTAACTTCCACCCTTGTGGGAAAATACTGAAGTGGGGAGGTGAAGAAACTCACTTTCCCCCACAACGCTCAACAGAAAGCAGTATTTAAAGTAGGTGCAGCTATCAACTATGAACAAGGAGGAGAGTATTAAATGAAGATGGAACTGAATGTTGCTTGTTTCCCACAACCAACCTAACAAGCAACATCTCATCTATTTTTGATATTGCAAGCCAAATCTTCTCTTCCATAAGAGAAACAATCTGTCATTTGAAACTCTGTTACTGAGCTCCGTGTTTCTCCTCACTGCTGATCTTGGAGGACAAGCCTGAGGGTCATCACCTGAGGAGAAAGGAAAAAAGAACCTCAGTACAGGTAGTCCTTACTTACTGACCGCTGGTTCAGTGACCATTTGAACTTTTCACAATAATGAAAATAGAAGCAGTCCTCGAAGTTGTAACTGTCACAGTGCCCCTGGGCTCATGTGATTGCAACTGGCACAGATTTATGACAATTGCAGCATCCTGTGGTCACCATTTGAGACCTTCTCTGCCAACTTTTGACAAGCTAAGTCAATGGGGAACCTGGCAGGAAGTCATAAATTGTGGTCACAGTGCTTAATGCTATGCATGATTTGCTTAATGACAACAACTTGAACCAGAGGTGAGTTTCTGTTGGTTTGGCCCTGATTGGGTGAACTGGTAGTTGCAGCGGTGGGAGGCTCCGCCCACTCACCCGGATGCTTCTGCACATGCCCGTGCACATACACAAGCAAACTGGTAGTAAAAAAAATGGAAACCCACCACTGACCTGAACTGATGTTGCAAGTTGGTATGGTCACACTTAATCACTGGCATTGCCTAGCGACAAAGTTGCCAGTCCCTATGGCAGTTGGTAAGTGAGGACTTCCTTTAGATCTTGCTCGAATCAGAGGTTGAGAGGAACTCAGAGAAAGAGGTCTGAGATCCAATAGAAATCCCCTGTGGAGCTGAGTAACCGGAAGAATCCATGAGAGTCTAGAACCTCAGAGGTATCTTGCTTGGCTTCCTTGATAATCTTTCTAACTACATCCCAAAATACTTCCTTTATTTGTAATTATTTTGGAAATCTTTCTCAACAGGAGTCTCCTTATAAGAGGAAGAATTTATTCAAGAGAATTCCAAATCTTAAAACAAAAACAAAAAGGATGTAAAGTAGATTCTTAAAAATATTCTGAAATATACTGTCCAGTAATTTATTTTACTTCACAAATAATAGAACATTTATTTCATTGCTAGGGACAAAGGAAGAAAAGTTCTGTTCCTGGGAAAATAGTTTCACCTACTGAGTCAAAACTGAGTATGGCTGAATTTTCACCATCCGCAAGCTATTCTGGATTGGGCCGAGAGGTAATTGAATCATGTCCTGTCAATCCTTCCTGAAGCACAGTGTGGTGATCTGGGATGATCCAGTGGATTTAGGAAACCGATTGAAAGCTGTTTCTGATGTGTTATCAGTTTCATTTTAAAGAAATTGCTATTGTTTAATTATGGGCAAATGAATTTGCTAGCATTCATTTGGATCCCTTCCCTTTAAAAAAAAACAAAACACAGCAGGACATGTCTGAAATTCATATCAATTTCATTTTGCGTTAGTGTCCCTCATGACGGGGGCTGCATGTTGCTAAATGAGAGTGGAAGCTTTTTTTAAAACAAAAAATGTAATTTAAAATGTTGAATGAACATGTTGAAGTTATTTTTATTAATCTAAAACAATCAAAGCCCTTCTTAAAATTGCAAAATCAATTAAGGAAATACCGGTTGTCTCTTAAAATAATGTGAAAATACTTATGAAAAGAGACAAATAGCCCTGGCAAATATCTGAGCGTAGGTTTGATGCTGGCATATTTAAACTGTAAGTACAGATTAATTCAGTATCTTACCCACTACAGGCAAGATATAAATCCAAATAATTAAAGTACTGATTTGATATGAAATCCAGATATTTCACAACTGCCTTGGAGGAAATTGGCTCTTCAACCTCTTCAAAAGTCTGTATTAAAAATCCTCCTCCTTAGTACAAGTGGCATTAGGAAACCACATGAATGATTATGTTGCCCCATTGATAAATAATGCCATACTAACTTTATTCTCTTTTATTAAAATTTCAGTTTTCTGAAAGCAAGAACTGCTAACATTATCTTAAGATGTAAAAAAAGGATTGCCCATTTATTGGCCCACCTAACTTGTTTGCTTGTTTTTCTTTTAAATCTCCTTGTTGCAGTTTTTCTGGTCTTATTCAAAGTACATAGAAGCTCTTGAACAAGAAAGGATTCTCCTACAGGTTCAAGAAGATTTAGAGAAAAAAGCAGTTGCAGCATCTGCTTATTCAGGTTAGCTTTTCGTTAATGAGAAAGGTTTTTGTGAGCCCATTTAACATTCATTTCCTTACTAACTATGTGAAGCAGAACAATAGTATGTTCTCTGAATACAATGAGATTTGTTATGGTTTTAATTTCTCTTTCTCTCTCTCTCCCTCCCTCTCCCTCCCTCCCCTTTCTTTCTCTTTCTTTCTTCCTTCTCTCCTTCCCTTCCTCTCTTTCTCTTTAATTTCTTTCTTTTCCACCACCCAGGGCTCTCATCTTTCCTCGCTATGAAAAGTGATATGGCCATAAGCTCCGAAAAATCTATGACCCCATCAACTTTCAACACAGCTTTTGTGAGGCAACGTTCATTCCTATCTAAAGATAATGCAAGTATGTCTCTAGGAGCTCAATTAATTTTCCATGTTGATAACAGATATCATTTCATCAGATGCTCAGTTTGTATAATAATATAAAAATGAAATGTCTTGTGGATTCAGTCCAGGAGGATCATGTAAGTATAAGCAGCCCATCCTCTTAGATGTGCAAGTAGGGTTTTTTCCCCAGCACTTCCTACTTGGCGTTTCTTTCCCTACATAGGCGATTTGCTCTTCAAAGCTGGCAGGGAAAGCTTTTCATCAGCTTGCCCAAAAATGTTCTTGTTCTTTCCATCCCTGCCCTTCTGACTTCATCCTGTTGTCATTCTACCTGCAGTGGGCAAATGTTCCTCCTGCAGTAATTGCTTCCTCTTCTCCTTAGTCCATTTTCAAAAGAATGGTTGACACTAATATTTTTAGCTTAATTTATAGTTGCCATCTGCACAGTGATGTCATATAAATAGTGCAAGATTCCAGTTCACAAATATTAGCATTCTTGCATTCTTCAGAGTTGTTCAACCAAATGTTAACTCTTTCAGGCCCCAGTTTTGGTGGCAAATAGTTAATCATGTTCTTAATATGTTTATGGATTTTTTTTTAGGCATGGTCTATTATGCCCCTAACTGTAACTAAATCACAGCAAACACAGAGGGATGGATATTGAACAATGGTACACTTAATTGCAATGGTGATGTAGAGGATCAGGCATATATGGGAAACTGTTTTTTTTTTTTAGTACCAAAGGTTCTACAAAGAGGCGGATGTTATTTTTCTTTGAGCTACCCACATATGTGGGAATTAATCATTCACATTCCTATCATTTAAACACAATGATTGGACATATGAACATCCTTCATTCTAGATTAACTCCACAACCTCAGCACAATCTGTGTCGTTGAACCGTCCTTCTGATTTGAAAATGCACAGAAGCCCAACCACACCACCCACCTGCAACTCTTTAAAGTCACTGCTGTCGTGCCTCTGTTCTTGAGATCCCGTGGCCAGTTTTGAAGGCAGAAAATGTTTCTGATAAATTCAGAGTTGGCTATGTAAACCCATGCTTCAGTTACCTCCAGATTTAATTTCTGCAACGTATATTTCTTGGGGCTATCTTCAAAAAGGACAGCAGTCCCCAACCTTTGTGGTTTGGTGGCCTGGCTGGGGGGGGAGAGAGGAATGGGGCCACATGAGCAGCGGGCCAGTGCGCGCGCACACACAAGCATAGCTCAAGTTGAGTTACGTGCATGCACATGTATGCCAGCCTGCCATTTGCGAAGTCCGGTTCTGCCAAGCCTGCCATTCAGCCCAGGCATTAGGGACCTGTGATCTAGGAGGTATCTCCAATAATAATAATAATAATCAGATTCAGTGTACAGGGAGTCCTTGATTTACAACAGTTCATTTAGTGATTGTTCGAAGTTATAATGGCTCTGAAAAAAGTGGCACATGACCATTTTTCACACTTACTACTGCTGTACCATGTCCATAGTCACGTGATCAAAATTNATCACCATTACCATTACTGTCCATTACTGTGGAACCAGTGGGCAGTTAGAAAATTTTACTACTAACAGAGATACAAAAGTGGGCGGTAGGTATAAAAAGGTTGACGACCCCTGCTCTATACCATTCTAGACAAGTAGCTGTCCAATCTCTTCTTAAAAGCCTCCAGTGATGCTTTTAACTTCTGAAGGCAAGCCATTCTATTGGTTAATTGTTCTCGCTGTCAGGAAATTTCTCCTTAGTTTAAAGATTCAGACTTCAAAAATCTGTTCCTCTAACCTTACCCTCCTCTTGTCTTACTGTAATCAGCTCTAGTTGAATTACTAGACTAGTCTCTCCAAAACCAAAATTACTCCTCATCATTCCTGATGAAAAGCCAATAATACAGTGCAGGATTCATTTGTTTAATGCAATGTTTCTCAACCTTGGCAACTCTAATGCGTGTGGATTTCAACACCCAGAATTTCCCAGCCTGCATGCTAGCAGTTGAAGTCCGCCGTCTTAAGGGTTGCCAAGATTGATAAACCCTGGTTTAATGGACTCTTGCCAGACAAGGTGGGATGCTTTACAAACTGGCTTGTCAATTCCATGTCTCCGTCTTGGCTCATTTGAGCAAAACATTGCTCCTGACAAACATTTCAGCAGCTAATTTGTAATCATAACCCCTTATTGCTATAGCTGTAATTCACTGTTGAAACAAAGCAAGCTATTTAAGCGCATACAAAGGGCACTTTGTGATCAATTAAACACTGTTCTTTGACAAGTTCTACCAGAATTAGCATCAAGAGACATTGCCAAGTTCAAATAAATGGAAGGATTGGCTGGGAGTAGGGAAGGTGATGCAATATTTTGAATTGTTTTGCTTTACAACTTAGATCCTAATCCTCACGTGTCCCAGTTATGGACATATTTATGCACTTTTCTTGGCAATAATATGAAAAGGATTTACCACTGGCTTCTACCAATAGATTTCTTTTGCTTCTCATTTCCAAATGTGGTCTGGAGCCCTGGGAATTGCTATAAGTCTCTCAACTACCGTGTTTCCCCAAAAATAAGACAGGGTCTTATTTTCTTTTGTGCCCCCAAAAAAGCGCTTGGCCTTATTTTCGGGGAGGTC